TTCCAATGGCTGCATCCACTAGAAATGAAATGGGTTATTGTGATATGGTAAATATAATTATAATGGATGGTGATGATGAAGTAAATTAGGGTTGAGTAGTGAGAAAGATGTGGAAGTGTTAAATAAGGTGTGGAACTTTTTCTCTTTTTATGGGCGCAAGGAAGAAGATGAAGAAATTGAATTGGGTCACATTAAACCTTTTGTAATTGTCTGCTCAAGAGATAGAATGGCACATGCTGTGCATGACCCCAACAAATTAGTATGGGAATGCTTCCCTAAATCAATTAATGCTCTCTCTCCATTCTTCCACATTTCTATTCCTTTCTTACATATAAAAGATATGGGGTGGGTAAAATACTGTTTTGGTTCAGTAATCTTTTGCACATTACACAATTTAGTACCAAAAACATTTTCTCTTAGAATTTGCTTTCCAAACTTTTAAATTTATTTAGAAAGCATTAATTTTGTTCGGTTTTAAAACAAAACCTCAAACTTTGAATCATTTTATAGCAACCAAAAATAGTTGAACTATTAAAAAGTATAAATCAATTTGAAAATTAAAGAAGATTAAAATACTAAACTAAAAATAGAAATTGAGTTAGACAAACAATTCAAACCAAAACCAAAACTAATTGCCTCCACCCTGCAATTCGACTCGTGTATTTAATTATTAATTCCATCTTAAAAAGATTAAAAAAGAAAGTTATGGCCAATTCTCCTTAATTAAAAATTTAATATTAAGCTCTTTACATTTATGTTAATCATTAATTTCTCTTGAAATTACATAAATGTAATTAGAAAATAATTTCAAATGTACATTCATATTACTATATTTAAGTTTTTTTAATAAATTTCAGTAAAAACATTAGAAAGTTTATCTAGAGTTGCTATAATAGAAATCTAAAAACCTCCTAAGGTAAGAATTTACTAATTCAATTACATATTAGAAAACAAAATATGATTCTTCCTATATGCTCTGCTAGGAAAAACGCAATATCATTTCCCCAGTCTAAAAGAATTTCTATATAAATGTGAAAATTTATATATATATATATATAAATTAAATATTTGGATTTGATATGTTTTTAAGATTGTTTACTTATAACCTTTAGTTCCATTTTAATATAATATAAGATAAATATACACAAAAATAATTTCTTTAATTAAAATTCTAGGAACTAATTTAATATAAAAGTAAAAAGATATAAAAACAAGAGTTATGATACTATTCTAAAAATAGTTTGAGTTTAAGTTAAGCTATATTAATCCTCATTTCTAAATATAGGTATATCGATATATAATAATAATAATAATAGTTATTATCAGCCCACAGTTGATTTTATTCATTAAAAAAAAAAAAAATGCAAGCAGGGAATTGAAAGTCAGAAGAGAAGCCAAGGCTTTATTTGAAGGCCCTCCTTGTCAAGGCCCATTAACACCCAACTTCCACACGTTACTTGTCTCACTCCATTTTTAATTTTGTTTCTCCTTATCCACTCTCGCCGACACCGCTTCCTTCCACTTTTAGGCTTATCCTTCTTTCCGGAAAATATATATATATATATATATTAATTAATTATTATATATACATATGTAAGACTTGAATTCAAATATATCATAAAGTAAGACTTAAAACCACATGCTCTAGGCCATTGCTAATCTATTTAATTGATCATCACGTAAATTTTTATATTTAACTAAATCATAAATGCATATAATTAAAGTTTACAAGTCAATAAAATCCATTCCTAATTTATAGTCTGACTTCATTGCAATTTAAATCTTTATAATTTTTTGCGATAATTTTAATTTATACCATTTAATTTTTTACTTTATATAATAAATCAATAACAAAGTTTACCAAGACTTACACATGAAATTTTGTGATAGGCAGATGCTTCTTTAAATTATAACAATAAATTATTATGGGTTGTAATTCCAATACTTTTTCGGAATAAAAATAAAATCAAACTTAAAATTTGATTATCATTTCTTAAAAAAGAAGTCAGATTGACTCATTAATAAAAATTAAATTACCATCAAAGAGTGTTTTTAATAGCGAAATTAAAATTTATTTGGAAGTCAGACTATAAATTTGGTTAATAATAAGACTTATTAGAATTTAGATGCTTCAAAATTAAAATAATGAAAAAATGAATGAATGAAAGATTAGTCAAATACCAGACCCCAGGAATCTGTCAGTCGTATTAGGACTTGGTATTTGGCAGCACGTCGTCTAACACGGGATCATCATTTTATCTTTTATTTATTTAAAGTAGTAATTAGTAATAACAATAGGCCAAATAAATTAATCCTCATTAATATATACAACAATTAATGGTGCAATTATTCTAAGTTATTTATTCTTATAAATATTTTAAATGTGAAACAAGTTTGAAAATTACTTAACATAAATAAAAAAAAATTTATTTTTAAAAGCAACAATCTAGTTGGTAAATGAAATGAGATTCACCAAAACTATAAATTAAGGGGGAGAAAAAAAAAAAAAAGTAAAGTACAATTTTAATATTTGTCACGTGTTAAACCATTTCTAAATTATTTTGTAAATATTTTTTGTATGTATTTTAAAATTTTAGTTTATTTTTGTTAATTTATTTTAGTTTTTAAAATTGAGACAACAAAAATATTTTAGCTAATAAAATTCTAACCAAAATTGTTAAAAAAATAAATTTTATATTAAATTTTAAAAATCTAAAATTATATAATATTAAATTGTAATGCACCTTTACAACAAAACTGCAATTAATAGAGAAACCTTACCTTCCTGAACATAAAATTACTATAATAACCTTCAATATTTTGCTTATTTTTCTTTTTCTGGTTGTGCTAAATAAATTGTAAAATTTTAATGTATGTACATAACTTTCAAGTATTAATGTGCTATGTACATAATAATTATATTATTATTGGTATATAGGTGATAGTTATTATTAAAATGTATAATTTTATCAAAAAAATTATTAGAAAATAATTAAAATTAAAAAAAGCATAAAAGTAAAATGAGAAGGACAATTTCGTAATCATGAAGGATGTTAGTGACGCGTTTTGACGTAACAGCTTCTCAGGGCAAGCCAAAAGTCGTTCATTTTATCTTCTCCCTCGATCTTCTTTAAAACCTTCGTCCGCAAGCTCTCTCTCTCTCTCTCTGCAAAAGCCAAATTTCGTTTTCATTTTTAATTTTGATTAATTTTGAATCATAATCTCTCTGCAAAACAGATCCAAACGATGTGCAATGCCATTCCTCCCAATTCAGCTCCGACGCCCAGAATCCCTCGACTGGCTCTCTGATCGAACTTGACTCACCCCGGACAACCATCCACACAACCACTTCAAACAGAGCTCTCTCTCTCTCTCTCTCTCTCTTATTCACTTTCTCCTTCCTCTCAATGGGAACTGTGCCTTCGACGCCGCGTCACAGCAGCAGCGACTCCGCGGAGTATCTAATCGCCACGTTCGTTGGCGAGAAATCATTCCCTTTGGCCTCCGATTTCTGGCAAAAGCTCCTGGAGCTCCCATTCACTCTTAACTGGCCCAGTCACCGCGTCAATCATGCCTACCAGCTCTTTGGTCAGTGTCTTTATCTCTTTTGCAGTGTCCAATTCCTCTTCAGTGTTGTATTATAGTATTTCTAATCACTTTTTTGCTGTTTATGCTACATATAACTTTGCATTGAGCTCTCGCTTTAGCTAATTCGATAAATAATCGCGGAGGGATATGACGTACTGTGTTATAGCCTGTAATGAGAAGTTTGGGAGTTTGAATTAGAGATTACTTTACATTTCAGCATTCGGTGGTTTATGAGAGTGGATATGAACATCTAGAGCCTATAATTTAATTTTCTCTTTTCATTCCTGCCGTTCATCCACTTACAGATAGTTCTTGAATTCCTGATGGTGCAACTACGTTTTTTTTTTTGAAGCGGAAGATATTTTAGGATTAGCGCTGCATTGCCTAACATTAGCCGTGCATTTAAATTGACGCCTGTGTGACAAAATTTTTTCCCCTTTTACCTAATCCGTACTTCTCACTCAGAAGAAATTATTTAGACGGTCATAAAAATGCAATGAGTTTCCCAAATAATGTAGTAAATAGATAAAGCACACTAGATTGGAATACAAAGGACATACATGATTCATGATTGTATGTAGAAACCCGATGGTAGTTAAATCATAAAAAGTGGAAAAGGAAATAGTTTCTTAGTTGAATGAAATGTCGTATGCATCGTGTTAATGGTGACTCATGTTCTCATCCACAGGCATTCCCAATAATTCCCTGATCACTGAATAACGAACAAACTTTTCCTTTTTGTTTCCTTCAAGAATATTATACATAATGGTTTTGTCATTCTGGTAGCATGGTGTAGACTTTGGGTACTCTGCTTTCTGGAATAAGGAAAATATAATTTACTTGCGGACAATACTACTGATTTTTTTTTCTAAAATTCTCATATTCTTCTTCATGTTGAATGCTAGGTTTTTAACTTTCTAACTTTCTTGTGCAGCACAAAACAATCGCTACACGAGGCATCTTGCAAAAATTTTGATTCATCTAGCATGGTGTTTACAGTCTTTTCCTGCCTCTGGTGCTTCATCTACAACTTATATGAAGGCTGTCAACGCAGCGTACATATCATCTATTTTCCTGAAAAACATAATTGAAAACTCACAAAGTGGCGACCTCAAAGAGTTATACCTCTCTTTGGATGAAAGTGAACCAATACCCAAAGAGTTTATAAGAGGTAACCAGTTTAGGGATAATCATTATTCTGCTATTAGCAACGAGTTGAAGTAACGCATGAAAGTAGTCTTGCAAATTGATGTCGTAACCTCAAGTGACTTAGTTTGGGTTTCTTATATGCAGGTCAAAATATTGAGAATCTTGTCATGCATAGTGTGCTTAGTTTTATTGGATCGATAGATATAAGGTAATTTTAGATGTTATATGGTACTTTTTAATTGTTGAGGTCTATTACTATTGTTATCCTAATTTTGTATCATACTTTTTTTGGCAAGTGCGGATACATATCCTCTACATCAGGAGTTGCTTAACTTTATGCTTGTTGCAATGTCAACTCAACTTCTTTCAGAACCGTCTCCTGGACCAGGGCATATAAACCCTTTTATTGATGCAGCAGTGTCTCAGGTTTCATGTTTAAACTTTGGCCTTTTCTATTTGTTGCAGCATCAGCAAATCTTGCCAGCCAAATCTCAGTCCCGTAAAACTTGTACTAAACTTTGCAGGAAACTTCTCTTGTTAGTTTGGTGGTCCGCAGGCTATTATTAAATTACATAATCCGACCTCACATCTCAAGGAATACTTCTTATTCTATATTTTCTGAAAGAAGTCAACCTGGTGTCCTACAGAGAGTTGGTTCTGCAGCTGGTATCGATTTCTCTTTTGTAATAATCATATATCATCTATTGCTGTGTTTGTTTCAGCTCTATAGCCTTTTCTATACAATTTTTCCTCTTTACTAATATAAATGCATGCTTGGACTTTAATGGAGGCTTATTTTTCTGACACAACTTATGTAAGTTATTAATTGTTTTGATCTGCAGCAACTTTTGTATTATTGCCCTTCAACTATTTAGTCAGTTCAAGTGGTGAAGGATCTAGAAATCTGTTTGCAGACTGTAGTCTCCATGTGTTGCTTATTCTCGTTCATTACCAAAAATGTCTTGTGAGTGACGTGTCAGTAACGGATAGAAGTGATGATGGTGCCGGATTGGATTCTGTTTCAAAAGATACTGCTTATTTCTCTGATAACCCTTATTCCAAGGCTTTGGGAAACGCAAGGGATATTGAATGTGAGATCCATTATCTTTTATTTATCTGTAGTTTCTTTATTAAGTACAGTGGCACAATATATTGTGTTGCTAATTCTGTTGTCATCACAGTTGACCGTGTAGATATTGAGGGAAATGCCCATGATGGTCCACTTGTAAGGTTACCTTTTGCGTCTCTATTTGATACTCTTGGCATGTGAGTATCGTATTTTTTCTTGCAAATCCATTCCCAATTTCTTAAGTTACATTTTTTGAGTTATTGAATCTTCCAGCTCATATTGATTAAAACTTCTATGATTGGCATCCTTAGTTCTGATTTTTGAATATAAAAACAATGTTTTATGTGGTTCCCTAACTGTATGTTAAACCATGATGTAAGATATGGTGATAATGTTCTCACTTCGCCTCTTAATTTTCCAAACATATATGATAATAGTAGTGAACTTTATGGCGAATTTCTAAAGCTATAAGAGTTTAATTTTCTTTAAGTTGATTTGTTTCCTATTTGAATCCTTGTTGCTATAATTTTTATGTGAGACACATGATTTTATTGTTTCTTGCGGAACTTTCTCTAGTATGACGGGGACGGATAACATATTAATACTAAAATGTTTCCAACTCATTACTTGTTAAATCCTGTTAATTTTAGTAAGTATTTTTCTTCAGCAGAGGTCAACACACAATAGTGTGGTCACTAGAAAGTGCTGAATTCTGGAAGACTTGGTCGCGCTTTTATATGGGAATAACTTATTTTCTTTTTGTTGATTCACATATCCTTGGTCTTATTATTAGATATTTGCTTTTTCAGGTTCTTACTATCCATGACATCTCTCTCTCTCTCTCTCTCTCTGAGAATTGCATAACAGGTTTTCCTTTTCAGGTGCTTGTCTGATGAAACTGCTGTTCTATTGCTGTACTCGTTGTTGCAAGGGAACTCTGACTTTTTAGAGTATGTGTTGGTGCGGACTGATTTGGATACATTGGTATGATTTACACTTATACCATTAATAGGTAGTTAATAGTTCCCTATGCATGGCTTCCTTCAATTCATTAGGTACAGGTTTCTGTTTTAGCCTGGATTTTAAACTGTCACTGATGTACTATGAGGTGGTGTTTTTCTAAAAAATCTGCATCTGCCACTGACATTGCAGTTACCATGGTCTGGTTCGGAATGAAAGACTCTGTTCGTTAATGTTTGGTTCTACCATAGCTCTGTAATCTTGTCCATTTCTGATTGGCCAAAAGGAAAAAATAAAAGATAAAAACATAATAAATCATGTTAAATTATAATCTGATGTGTTTTTCCTTTGTGACCTTGCTGTTATGTACATATCAAGTATTTTTGACAGCTTTTCAGTTATGTGACATCTCCTTTGAATTAACTTATACCATTCTTGTAGTAATTCAACTTGTTTTAATTGCTAAGTATGTTCTTAATTTTTTTTAATATATGAGTTGGCGCAGTGCCATGCTGCTAATCTATTTATAGGGTTTAGATTCACACTTCCTGAATCTTATCTATGTTGTTACAATACAATCTACAGTTGATACCGATCTTGGAAACATTATATAATGCTTCAAGGAGGACATCTAATCAAATCTACATGTTGTTGATTATACTTCTCATACTTAGCCAAGATTCTTCTTTTAATGCAAGTATTCACAAAATGGTAAGAATCATTTCTGTTGCTTAACCAGTGACTTTATTACTCAAATATTTTAGTGAATATGTTCTGTACTTTTACAGGTCCTGCCAGGAGTTCCGTGGTATAAAGAACACCTGCTACATCAGACATCTCTTGGTTCTTTGTTGGTGATTGTTTTAATAAGGACTGTACAATATAACCTTTCTAAGCTGCGGGTATGGCTGTCATTTTTCCCATCTTGGCTGACCTAGCTATGTTGAGATATAAGCAGATTGCTTATTTTACTTGATATTACTGTCAATTATATGAAATGCCTTACATGAGAATCCATTAGTTAATGCATCTAATTATGTTACGTAGTGGTTTAGGCTTTGACATGATTATCAAGGTACCAAAGGTCAATGAACCCTGTTATTCTTACAAACCTAGGATTCATGTAATATATTCTTGATTCTTGAATATGCAAAATTAAGATTGAATATTTTTCTAAGAGAATAATAGTTATGCAGATATGTTGATATGGTGACAGATGTTCTATTCTGGCATTTACTTTTTCCTTGTATTATCAACTTTTTTTTTTTCAAATATTAACAGGATGTCTATCTCCATACAACTTGTCTGGCAACATTGGCAAACATGGCCCCTCATGTCCACCGTTTAAGTGCATATGCTTCACAAAGACTAGTTAGTCTTTTCTATATGCTCTCGCGCAAGTATGTCACCTATGTTAGGTCCCTTGTTTTCTATGACCATAGTATCATGCCTTTTTTTTTTTATTATTATTATCCTGTTCTAGTTGATTTGTGCCATTCATTTTTCTTGAATTTGCACTTAATAATTGTTTCAAATGTAACACTTGATTCAGGTATAACAAATTAGCAGAGCTTAGAGATGAGAAGCTGCATGCCCAAGGCAATTCTTTTGAGCAAGAAAGCCTCACAGATGATCTGGTATTTGTTCCTGACTTTGGTTATGATTTTGTAGATTACGCATGACATATGTCTGCTATTTCACCTCAACTTCTTTTATTTCTTTTTTGGGAAAAAATATTCAATTTTCTAAATCATACTGTTCTTTGTGTAGACAGCGGAATTGCATATCTATACAGACTTCCTGAGAATTGTCCTTGAAATACTAAATGCGATTTTGACTTATGCCTTACCAAGAAATCCTGAGGTACCATCTTTTTATTAGATCAGTGTTGCTAATTTCTCCATCTGAAATATAACACCATGCATTTTTATACATGGACTTGTCAGGTTGTGTACGCAATTATGCACCGGCAGGAAGTTTTTCAGCCATTCAAGAATCATCCACGATTCAATGAGCTGCTTGATAACATATATACTGTATGCTCCATGAAATTCTTCTTAACACTTTTAAATTTTGTCAAAGAAATTCAGGTGGTAGATACAATTAAGTTTTATTAATTATTAATTCCTTAATATAGTAATTTTTTTAAATAAAAATTCATTGTTAATTATTAATTCCAAATATAATAATTTTTAAAGTAGATCAAATCAAATCTTGCTCCCTTCATTCATTTTAGGTGTTAGATTTCTTTAATAGTCGCATGGATGCTCAACGGTCAGATGGTGAATGGTCAGTAGAGAAAGTTCTCCAATTCATAATCAATAATTGCCGATCCTGGCGAGGTGAAGGAATGAAGGTAAATTAAATTATTTTAAGTTTCTAGCTTCTGTACTATTTATCTGGCGGTTAAAGGTTTTCTCCTTACCTGTCCCACCATCAAGATCTTTTTCCCTTATTTTCTCTTTTATGAAAAGGACAATGATGCTGTTTTGACAGATGTTTACTCAATTACATTTCTCATACGAACAAGAGAGTCATCCGGAGGAGTTCTTTATTCCATACGTGTGGCAGCTTGTCCTATCTCACTGGTAATGTTTCTTTCTTCGCCAATCTCCTTTCTTTCAGTTTCAAGATATAAATTGGTCGTATGTTTGCTCATATTTTTTTTTCTGTGTTCGCCTCCCACATTTTTCAGCGGATTCAGTTTTAATCCCCATGCTATTAATCTATTTCCAGTTGAGCTGCATGCTGAAGTAAGTAAATTATCTCATATTACGTTCTCAATATTTAAGGTTTTTGATTATTCTTACTCTTAATGCTTCTTGCAACTATTTTTAAATGCATGCGGGCTCTTTTGCCTTTCCCTATTTCTTTTCTCTTTTGACTATATCCTGGCATTAATTTTGTATATGTTTGGCAACATTTAGATTCTGTTCAATTGTCTTTTTTTGTTTCCTTTCTTTTGGTTTGAGAGGGCTCTTTTGATTGTAAAGAGTAGAAAATTTCTTAGCTGCTTCCAATTCTAAGTAGCATAGTCCTTGATGATTAAGTGGTATAACAGTTTTCACATTTGACTCAATTTAAGCAAACAAAAGTTTGAACTTAGGTCTCGGTTTTGATACCATGATAAGTAATTGGTTGAATGACCAGGAACCATATAGATAGGTAAGTGTTCACTTTTATTATTGATATTATATCACTAATCAATGATGTGTCCTCAAAATTCTTCTGGGTCATCAGTCAGGATTCTGATAATGTCATGTTGCGTTTTATGCATGGTACTCTTTTCTGAGTGTAACATATGAAAGGAGCAATAAACAATTGAATTCTGAGTGTAGTCTATTGAAATATTTTAACCACAAATTTCACTTTTAATTTTAATACATCATATACCAGTCTGGGAGAATGCAAGAAGTGATTCCTTATATTAGCAATTTTGTTTTTCCTATCTCTAAGAAATTTGTTTAAATTTACTTTCACTGTTACTCCAATATACATAGTGGTTAAGTACCATCTATATGTCAATCCCCTAGTTGGTTAGAAGGGTAGCATAATTTGGGAATATCTTACTGTACTCTCTTTCCATATTTCCGTTTGTACTTTTAATTGTTCTACTGGCAAGCATCGATAGGTTTTTTGGCTTATGTGGTAGATAACAGCAACATTTGCTTTTGCTGCAGAAGCAGATTGATCATGGCGGGGAAACAAACATGCATCTGAATGGTGAGTTTAATGAACATAGGGTTGTTGTGGAGCTGTAGCTCAATGATATAATATCCTGGTCTTTGCCATGTGTGTATCCAGGCAGAGTATGTAAATAGATAAGATAGCAGAAAATGTATTCGTGTCATTCTTTGGTGTTAATATATGAGTTTCTGTAGAGGCCTTTTCCCCACAGATGAAATTGAGATTATCCTATGTAATAAATAAGAGAAGGATAATTTCAGTTCCTGATATAATTTTTCAGTAGAAAGTTTCAGCTCTTCTTAATCCTGCAAGAGCTAAGTTTGTATCCCGGTTGAATTTTGGGTGAGGAACAATTAGCTACTTCAAGCAAGCAAACTTCCTGGAGCAACTCTTTATGTTTGGCGACCGGCTACGCCAAGCATTTTTGTCATTTCTCTGAGAATTTTTTTAACCTCTATGAGGGAGTCGCACTTATTCCAATGTGCATTAGGAAGAAGAAAATTTTGCATTACCAATTTTATACAAGAAAGCAAGTGGTATTAAAGACCTTTAAAATTATATATTAAATAAATATGTAGTGATAAGATTATATTGTAATTATGATATTTCATTGAAATGGGCGTTAGTAGAAAGTTTGAATCTTCTGTTTGATTAATTGAAAAGCTTTATGTGAAATGGAAGTTACGTGTTACTTTTATGTATAATATGACTTAACTGGAAGATTACGTGGGTAAGATTTATTATTTTAAAAAAATAGTAATAATAAAGTAAAGAGTTGTCTTAAGCTGAAGGAAGGGGGATATGATGATTATTATAAACTTTCGTAAAACAAAGCAGTTTTTTTCTTCTTTGCTTCTTATCTTGCCCCCATTTTTGGTCAGATCTCTCAATATGATTCCAATTTATTTGGAAGGGTTTAAATATATTGTTAGTCCCCCTACCTTTTATATTTACTATATCAGTTGACCATCTTAAAAACATTAAGATTTAAGTGACTCAAGTTTTCATTTAATTACTAATTAAATACTTCTATTAATTTATATTGTTAAAGTTTTCAACTTGTTATGGGGATATAAAAATTATAATAACAAGCAGCATGATAACTTGCCAATCATAATTAACCTCTCTTTTTTTCTTTTTGAAATTTGAAGCAACTTGACTTGAAAATTTTTACAGGTATTTTAAATGATTATTAATAAATTTAAAATTGATTAACAAGTCAACTAAATTTGTTAGTTAAAGGTGTGTAATATTAAAATAAATACTAAATAAATTATTGGTCACGTCGGAATGAGTTTTAAGTTTTGGATTTCAGCTTCAAACATCATTTAAGATAAAGTTTAAAAAAAGTTCATGCAGAATTGCCGGTGACTATTAGTCTTTAATTAAGCTGATAAGATTATACAGTGTATTAGAAGAGGCGTTCATTAAGATATCACTACATCTGCTTAATTTCATTAAAACTGCATCAGCTAGGAAAACGGAATGTAATTAAAGTGATTAGACGAGGGTGCCCCCTTTGACGTATTCAGTGACGGCCAAAGCAACGAGACCTAGCATGGCAAATCTGCCATTCCAAAGCTCTGCATCTGACGTCATCAACCCTTCTGATTTGGACTCAACACTCACTCCTTGAAACAGTGGGATCAGAGATGCCAGCGACAGCACAATGCTTGTCCCAAGGAACCATGGGATCCCACCGTTGGATATCTGCGCAAACAAATCCTGACCCTTGCTTAACTCCACTCCCATCGCAGCAACAAACCCGATCATCGCTAGCCTCCCGTTGATCCTCTCCGGTGCTGGACCACCAAATGCAAGTACATCCGAGAATTTGGTGCTAACCTTATGCTTAGCAGCTGGAGAAGGAGCAGGAGCAGGAGCAGGAGCAGGAGATTTAGATGTCTTAGGTGGAGGAGAAGAGGTGGTCGAGGCAGATCCATCATCCTGCAAAATCACAAGATTAGACGTTCAAGATTCTGCCACTTGTACATAAGTTACCACATGATGATCAAATGGTTCAATAAGACTCACCTGGTCAGCCATGCATCTTATCAGCAGGCCACCATTTCTACGCCGGCATAAGAGGTGGTTGGAGTCAAAAACTGTTTAGTTCTGGGAGTATGTCGGCCCTGAACTGGGCTGCCGAAGATCGATTGCATTGCATATGATGATGATGCCATTATCATCCAAAACTCTTTAACAAATCACTCGAAAAATTTTGAAGACGTTTTAGAATTTGAACTTACTGAAACAATAAGGGGTGGATGTATATATATATAGTGGGTAGCAGAGAAGCAACGGGTGGATATTTAGGTTCCACGTCATCCGTATCTTATTTGGCCACGTCATTGATTTCACGCAGGTTGCCTTGTCCACACACATTAATGTTGGGGTGACTTGGATACATCCTTTATCACAAAGATTCTTCTAGGTTTTCAGTTTACTCATTATGCACTGGCGTTTTCTAGTACCTTCCACTCACTGCATAATCAATTTGGAAGAATTAATTTAAGTTGATGTGAACTTATTCAGTTGAAGCTCCGCCGGGTCTGGTTCCAAGGCCTGTGACCGAGCAGGGCATTGAAGTGGTGGGCTGATGGGCCGAAAGTCGGTGCATGGTGTTGGCATTTAAAACCCAGCTATGCAGGACCCTGTGAAACCCCTGACTCTCAGGGCCATGATTAATAAATAAATAAATATTTTAATATGTATTAATTTAATAAATTAATTAAATTTATTGGTTTGAGTTATTTTTTAAGGTATCCAAATATTACTTGGCTTCAATTGTTTTTTATTAGAAAATAAAAATAAATAAAAAATATCAAAAATTAAATTATAAAAAAATATATGAGAAATGTCAAATTTTGAGAACTAATTTAATAATTTATTGTAAATTATAATTTTTCTCTAAACAAGTAATAATACAAATATTCTAATAGTAAAATTCGAGACATTGATGATTATAATTAATTTAGTTATACGTTATGACAATATTAATAATTCAGTTGAATAGTTAGTATTTTCTTCTTTCTATGAGAGGTTGCTAATTTGAGTAGAATTTTGTATTCTCTGTATTTTTATTAAGAAGTAATTAATTAATAAATTAAATACATAAATTTTAAAAAGAATTTAATAGTACATTGAATATGAGTTATTAAAGACCAACACTACTTTACTAGGGTTTATTAAGAAATAATAATAAAATAAAATAAATAATAATATGTATTAATTGTATATTCTATTAAATTAAGATATAATTATTTTTTTTATGTGCTAATTATAGTAACTGTTAAGTAAAATTGTCCCATAAATTTAACCTAAAACAGTATCTACCAGGTTAATGTACTTTCTTTATCTTCTTTTAATTTTTTTTTTGACAATTATATATAATATTTTAACTTAATATTCTATCTAAAAAGAAGTAAATTATTTTGAAATATTCTATTTACCCAAAAAAAAAAAAAGAGAGAGAG